AATGGAATACATGGTGTGAAGTAGAAGTGACAATTTGATGTGGGATCGGTAAATATGTATCCTACTTTTTTTAGGGTATGATGTGATTGCTCAAGCTCAGTCAGGTACTGGCAAGACAGCCACATTTGCTATTTCCATCCTGCAACAGTTGGAGATTGAGTTCAAGGAGACCCAAGCACTAGTATTGGCCCCCACCAGAGAACTGGCTCAACAGGTATTGATAGTGTAGTTCAAAAAAACTGCTTGCGTGTTGCATAGGTTTCAGGTTTCACAACTGTGAAGAATTTAAAACTTAGTATAAATTGGTCCTACCAGATCCTTCCTTTTAATTGTCCATGCATGCAGGGAGTTTTTGTTGAAAGCTTTAAAAGAACTGGGTATGCAGGTATGGTTTGTAGGGTTGTATACTAGTAGATTGAGAATCCGAAGCACTCTTGGATGTACTAGATCTGTCCCCATTTTTTAAGTTTGAATGCAGTTGTGCAACATGAAAACTGCAGTGACATGTTACCATTTGACTGTCTCCGTAGTTTGTGATGCATCTGTTGCATGCTATGTTTTCAAAGCTCACTGCTATATTGGCTTTGAAGTAAACCTTTCTAATAAAGCTGGAGGCTTTATTGAGGTCAAGATTATATAAGGCACAATACCCTCTGGGGGAAAAAAATTATTTGCCCTAGCTGTAATTACAGAACATATATTTCACTATGTACTCCCTACACACAGTGAAGAATAATGTAGGAAATGTTATTCTTGAATTGTCTAGCTGATGCGTGGGGCAGCAGCATCCCAAGTTTGACAAGGCAGAAGAAAGACATTAAGGGAGTTTTACCTTGAAGCAGTTAGGTCAGTCTGCGTTTTAAGCTTGGAAGTAGTTTTGTGCTGTGCATGCATAAAAGCTGTTGGCAGACCAGTTTAAATTTGCCATTATGCTTTAAAAAGTAGTCATTGATCCTGAAGTTCTTCAGGATAATAATTAAGGCTTGGTTTTTAGATCCAAAAGGTAATTCTGGCACTTGGAGACTATATGGGAGCAACTTGTCATGCCTGCATTGGTGGAACAAATGTTCGAAATGAAATGCAAAAACTGCAGGCCGAAGCACCACATATTGTTGTTGGTACACCTGGGAGAGTTTTTGATATGTTAAACAGAAGGTATCTTTGTAAGTATTGTCTTTAAAAGAGTATGAATTTTTTTTTTTTTTTTTTTTACTGTTGAAAAGTCATATTACTGAGTAGATCTAGAAATGATAGTATGACTTTGTTTCTGACAGCTCCAAAATGGATCAAAATGTTTGTTTTGGATGAAGCAGATGAAATGTTGAGCCGTGGGTTTAAGGATCAAATCTATGAGATTTTCCAAAAACTAAACACAAGTATTCAGGTAAGCATTACTTCACTCCCCTCTTAAAGGTAGAGATGGGGTTTAATGCAGGTACTGTTACAATACAACTGACGTGTTTTATTGTCGTTCCCCCTGCTTAAAGCACTTGATGCATAACTCTGTCTGTCTAACTCCATTCCGTAGTAAGACAGAGACGCTTGGCTTCAAACATTTTCCCTTGGGTATTACTGTGTAAGTTGTGCTACAACATAATTTTCTCTTTTCAAGGTTGTGTTGCTTTCTGCCACAATGCCAACTGATGTGTTGGAAGTGACCAAAAAATTCATGAGAGATCCAATTCGAATTCTGGTGAAAAAGGAAGAATTGACCCTTGAAGGAATCAAACAGTTTTATATTAATGTTGAGAGAGAGGTAACTGATTGTTACACATTATTTTACCTTCTTGTATAAGCACTGTGCTAAAATTGCAGACACTAGGACTATGTCTTGGTTTTTGCAATAATGCTAGCAGAGTACACACAAGAAGAAAAGTAACAGCACTAGATTGTAAAGACTGGGGTGGACCTCTTTCTTAATGTCCAATGTCCTTTGTCTTAAGATTTGGTGCAATATCTCATTAGACGTAATAGAATGAAGTTAATTTTTATAATTTCTACGTTTTGAGACTGGGTCATGAGACTGGCTAAGAGGGGCCAATTTTGGTATTTTGGGTAGAGACAGGGTTTCACTATCTGGAAACTCTGGTTGGAACTCCTGGACTCAAGTGTTGGGATCCCGAAGTGCTGGGATTATGGGCATAAGCACTGTGCCTGGCCCAGAATGAATTTTTAACTGAAGAAAGTTGGAAAAGCTAAATGACTGTTAACTTTCTCTTCTAAACATTATAGGAATGGAAGTTGGATACACTTTGTGACTTGTACGAGACACTGACCATTACGCAAGCTGTTATTTTTCTCAATACAAGGCGCAAGGTGGACTGGCTGACTGAGAAAATGCATGCCAGAGACTTCACAGTTTCTGCTCTGGTAAGAGGTGTTCTTAAATGTCTGGATTTCCACCAAAGCAGGATTCAGACTACAATATAGCTGCTAAGTGCTGTGTTGTCGTTCCCCCTGCTCAAAATAAAGTTGTTTCTTAACTATACCTGTCTGCTATTTTCCTGTAGCAGCCAGGGACGCTTGGTCTCATACATGTTTATTGAAATTAAATACTGACCTGACTGGTGATTCTTGAATTGAGGTTTATTAATTTGCAGCATGGTGACATGGACCAGAAGGAGAGAGATGTTATCATGAGGGAATTCCGGTCAGGGTCAAGTCGTGTTCTGATCACTACTGACTTGTTGGTAAGTCTCTTAATGCTTTTTGAAAATGTACCAAAAGTTAGCTTTTTGGGGGGAAGGTTTTTAAGTAACCTTTGCCAACTTGGGCTATTTGGAAGAGTAAAAGGACCACACTCCACAGTGGGCTATACCACTTAGTATAGTTCGCTACTATTTTGTGGCCTACATGACAGGTATCACGTTTTTTGAATTAGAATTTTTAACATATGCCATTGTGTTTCAGGCTCGCGGGATTGATGTGCAACAAGTGTCTTTGGTTATAAATTATGATCTACCTACCAATCGTGAAAACTATATTCACAGGTGAGAAGCCAGCATTTTGGATGTATTGAAAAAAATTCATTTTTCTACTGTGATTTGTATGAAAGGTAACATCAAATCAAGGAATAGATTCAGTAAAGTCAGTAGTGTTCAGTAAGATGATGTAATTAAATTTGTGCTAGGGGAAGGCTGACGAGAACAAAGTGGGAAAACTTGTAAACGTTGCTCAGATTGTGGGCATAGGTTTTTTTTTCCCCCGCGATTGTTGGTCTTAGTTTATGCTTGAGCTTTTAGTGATGTTCTTGTGTCAATGTGCTTTTTCTTGATTTTTTCCATAGTTGGGATTTTCTTGGTGTCGCCTGGTAGCAATTTGAGTGAACCCTGGTTTAGTTATAGTGGCTTTATCCCTAAATAAATTGAATCGTACTTTGTTATGTGATGTAAAAAAAGACTTTTTAAAAAATACAGGAGTCGATAGCAGCAGTTGATGACGAGATGGCACTCAGAAACGGCGTTGACGTAATTTAGGACGTGGATTCATAAGCGAAACAGCACACTGTTTGAATAAAGAGCGAGTCGGTATTTATATTTGTTTTTCTTTTGTCATGATTATTTATTTTAAGTTGCTCCAGCTGAGGCATTTTTCGTATTAGTATTTCTGTTAGAGAACCTTTCTTACTAGGTGGTTTGTATTGTCTGGTTTCTAACATGAAGGTAGCTGTTTGGCGGTTAAACACGTTTTGAGTAATTTGAGTTACAACGTGTGAAACTGAGCAAAAAAGCAGTGATAAGTTTGGGTTACCATACCAAATACTTGTTTTCCCACTGGAAAAAAGTAAGTTTTAGAAAATAGTTAACCTTTGCAGCATTTGTTTACAGTTTACAGTTCCAGAAGTGCGTCGAAATGGATTACATAACTGCTCTTTTATTCCTGGTGTTTACATCTGTCCCAGGCTGACACCTGCTCTTGGCTGGCCCACTTTGGTATGGGCTTTAATTTCACTACCCCAAACACAATACTGTCATCTGCTTTATAATAATGCTCAAGATGCCTGATAAAAATCTCATTTTGCAGCCAGACAAGCCTTGAATCCTTTTGGCACTAACTGCAAAGGAAGATTTTTTTCTCTAGATATGCATTAGCAGCTAGTGCTCCAGTTAGAAGCACGAACTATAACCTTGATAGGTAAACAGCAGCTGATGGTTAACAAGTGGATCGTCATGTTCAGTAGTTCATAAATTATGTGAGAAGTAACATTCTGATTGTTTTTTTCTTACACAGAATTGGCAGAGGGGGTCGATTTGGGAGGAAAGGTGTGGCTATAAACTTTGTTACTGAAGAAGACAAGAGGATTCTTCGTGACATTGAGACTTTCTACAATACTACAGTGGAGGAGATGCCCATGAACGTGGCTGACCTTATTTAATTCCTGGGATGAGAGTGTTGGATGCAGTGCTCGCTGTTGCTGAATAGGCGATCACAACGTGCATTGTGCTTCTTTCTTTGGGAATATTTGAATCTTGTCTCAATGCTCATAACGGATCAGAAATACAGATTTTGATAGCAAAGCGACATTAGTCGTGAGCTCTTGTGAGGAAAGTCATTGGCTTTATCCTCTTTAGAGTTAGACTGTTGGGGTGGGTATAAAAGATGGGGTCTGTAAAATCTTTCTTTCTTAGAAATTTATTTCCTAGTTCTGTAGAAATGGTTGTATTAGATGTTCTCTATCATTTAATAATATACTTGTGGACTAAAAGATATAAGTGCTGTATAAAATCAGCCAATTATGTTAAACTAGCATATCTGCCTTTATTGTGTTTGTCATTAGCCTGAGTAGAAAGGCCTTTAAAATTTTTTTAGAAAGCATTTGAATGCATTTTGTTTGGTATTGTATTTATTCAATAAAGTATTTAATTAGTGCTAAGTGTGAACTGGACCCTGTTGCTAAGCCCCAGCAAGCAATCATCCTAGGTAGGGTTTAATCCCCAGTAAAATTGCCATATTGCACATGTCTTAATGAAGTTTGAATGTTAAATAAATTGTATATTCACTTTAAAGGTGCTTTTGGTCATTTTTATTACAACCCCCTTATTTACAAAACCCCACATCAAAATATATTCACTTTTTAACAGTTCTGAGATAACTGCTGCATCACAGTTGCACAAAGGCTGATGAGTTGCAAATGTTCATCAGCACCATCTGCTAGGCATTTGTCAACTTCCTACAAGAAAAATTTAAGAAATTAGCATCCTTCAAGTAGTTGAATGTTTAATTGACATGTGCAAAGTACCTACTTACGGCAAGTTTTTCTGTAATAATGGACTTCTGTTTATCAGATAAGTTGTTCTCTACAACCACATCATGGAGTTGACTGACGAGCTGAGTTGCTGCATGACCCTCATCTATTAAGTCCTATTAAAAAAAAAAAACTTTTGGTATGATCACTTTATATTCCTTTCCCCAAAGTTAGTAAGCTGACTTTACCTTGACCACAGCTTCTAGTTTGTCAAAAGAGCCACTCTGACAGGCAGCAAATACTTCATCAATTTTCTCAGCTGGTATTACCTAGGTAATTGAACGTTCGGTATTAAAGATGTTTCTAGGTGAGACTAACACACTCCCCCCAGTCCTTTCTGTTCCACACCTAAGTTCCATACTTAGCTAATATTGTGAGAACCCTGTAAAGTTGGGAAGGCTTAGGGAGAACAGAGCCAGAGTAACTCCAGTCACCACTAAAGTAACCAAGATGCTAACAGTTGTGCTTTTAAAGCCCAAGTTTGGACACATGGGTTATAGCTTGTTCTGGTCAGTGGATGAAGACTAGTGGCCAAGATCAGCCAAAGAGACTGATTTCTTTAAAGGGGAAGTACCCTTTCTCTAAAAATCCATGTAAATATGCCACTAATGAGATTGGTTTAAAAAGTCCACAATATCCAGAAAATTTAAGATGATTAGTGGTACCAGTCTTGTCATATGGAAGGCCTACCGTGAAGGTGAAAAATGTCATAGAAACAAACGTTTTTAAGTAGTAGTGATTCTGAGGTGAGTTTTGACATGGGAGTATCCAAAGACAGGTGGGGTACTCCATTCTCTTTAATGATTACTGTAAGTTGGATATGACTTTTGTTTATATACAACTGGCAAAATAGTTTTCATGTATAAGAACATCTGCTAAAATAGATGTAACTACCAAAGGCATCTCTTAAAAAAATCTAAAAACTGAAAGCTGGGCACTGTGGCTCCCACCTGTAATCCCAGCACTTTGGAAGGCTAAGAGGGGCAGATCACCTGAGGTCAGAAATTCAAGACCAGCCTGGCCAACCAACATCGTGAAACCCCATCTCTATTAAAAATACAAAAATTAGCTGGGCATGGTGGCAGGTGCCTGTAATCCCAGCTACTTGGGAGGGTGAGGTGGGAGGCAGAGGTTGCAGTGAGCTAGTATTGTGTCACTGCACTCCAGCCTGGGCGACAGATCAAGACTCCGTCTCAAAAAAAAAAAATCTAAGAACTGAAAGTGTCCTTTTCTTTCCTGAAATGTCTATTACATGCCTGACAAACTGAAAAGTCAGTGTTATCTCCTCACCTGAAACACTCTGATACTCCCAGGTTATTCCCTTATACTTCCTAGTGCAGTACTTGGCACTTGCTAAACATTCAGTATTTGTTGGATGAAAATTTCCTAAAACACAAAAAAGCCAACTAAAAAGAAATTTGGAATATCCAGTACGCTTACCCCAGCAATGTCTGTGATCACTCTCTCTGTGATCTCCTTTCCACCTGTTAATCGAGTAGCGCTTTGAAGAAATGTAATGGCTTTTCTTAAGTCTCCTTCTGACACTTTAACAAGATAAGCTATTCCCTGAAGACAGAAGAGTTGTTTTTAACCTATGATGGCCAATTAAGGATTTATGACTTTAATTTTAAAATGTTTAATAAAAGTGAAAAACCCTATGTTTTAGTCTAGAGTTAATGAGAAAACACATTTGTGTTTTGGAATAAAATACGATCAGTCTAGGGGCCGGGTACGATGGAAGGATAGAGATGTCTTGCTTCTGAAATAAATTTGCAGAGATGAAAAAATGTTCCATATTTATCCCATTTTCTTGCTCACATAAAGCAAATTCAAATTATGCTTAAATTCTGTTATAATTAATAAGGGCCTTATGTTTCTATCAATTTTAGGGAAGTAATGAAGTATGAGCTAGAAGACTAAAATCTTGCCAGCATGCAGAGATTTATATTGCAGAATTTGCATTATATGTATGAAATCCACCTCAGTTTTGGGTCTTTGATATATTAAAAGTAATTAACTCAAAAAGTAATTCCTACACATTTCAATTGTTGCCCCTTTAGCTTAAGTTTGTCTGAAGAACTGGCATCAGGATTGAGGCAACACATATTTAAATCTTCCAGGGTCTCTTTATATGCATTCATTGAAGGAATTAGTAACTCTAATAATTGTAATAATTAGTAATTACCTCATCACTAATTTTGACATTTTCCTTCTCAGCAATGTCTAGTAATCGCTGCTGTTGAATTTTATCTGACAGAGGCTTGAAGCGGAATTTTGAACATCTAGAGGTCAGAGGTTCAATTATTCTGTGGAAGATGAGAAAATCCAAGTTGGTGTCTAAAGAAAGAATTTCCCCAAAAGAACTCATTTTTATCAAGAACAAATCAAGATTTGATGGAGGAAAAATTAACGTAGCCTTGAAAATTCTAAATTTCCTTTCCCTAATTGGATTGGTTATGAAAATGAGGCTGCCTAGCATCTGTCTTCAGGGTAATATACATACCGACTGACATAGTTACAGATAAGACAGAATCGGGTGGTTTTAGACTCCTTCTCCATGGTACGTCTTAAAGCTGCCTGAGCAGCTGAGGTCATAGAATCTGCTTCATCCAGAATCACTATCTTAAAAGGTGGACACGGCTTCCCACTGATTCAGAGAAACACGTAAGAGTTGAACATTAATATGTATATTGGTTTTAACAGCTTTGTTGAAATATGCATACTATATAATTCACCCATTTAAAATGTACAATTCAGTGTTTTTCTGTATATTCACGAAGTTGTGCGACTACTACCACAATTTAATTTTAGAACATTTTTATCACTAAAAGAAACTTTGCACCTATTAGGAGTCACTCTTCTTCCCCCAATCTTTCCCAGCTCTAGGCAATCACTAGTCTACTTTCATCTCTATAGATTTGCCTATTCTGGACATTATATGAATGGAACCATATAATATGCAGTCTTCTGTGGCTGACTTCTTTCACTTAACATATTTAAAGGTTCATCCATGTTGTAGCACGTGTTTGCTTCATTCCTTTGTATTGTCAAATACTATGGCAAACGGATATGCCACATTTATTCATCCATTAATCAGTTGGACATTTGGGTTGTCTCCATGTTTTGGCTATTAGGAATAACGCTGCTATGAACATTTGTGTACGTTTTTGAGCAGATATGTTTTCCAAGAGGCTGCACCATTTTACATTCCAAACAGCAATGTATGAGGTTTACCATTTCTCCACATCCTTGTCAATGCTTGTTATTTTCTGTATTTTTTTATCGTAGCCATCCTAGTGGGAGTTACCTGGTATTTCGGTGTGGTTTTGATTTTCATTTCCCAAATGGATAATGATGTTGATGAGCATCTTCTCATGTGCTTATTAGGCATGCATATATTCTTTGGCAAAATGTCTATGCAGATCCTTTGCCCATTTTTTAATTGGGTTATTTGTTTTTATTACTGAGTTTTTAAAGTTCTTCATATGTTCTAGACATAAGTACTTTTTAGATATATGATTTGTATTTTCTCCCATTTTGTGGGTTATTACCTTCTGCACATTGACTTTTGGTAATCTGCCATTAAAATTTTTCTCCCACCAAAAGTGGCATTAACATAATTATATGAAAATTATACCAAGAAAACAGATTTCAAGTATTAATGGTAGAAGGGATCTCAGAGTCTTTTAGTCCACCTCCCAGTCTTCATTTCACATAAAAATAAATTAGGTGCTATAGAGGTTGTGACTGACTGCACCATCAATTCAAGGTGGATATCAAAAATTAGTCATTCACTTTCATAAATTTTGAAATGTGCTCATGTAAATTTTACATATATGTTTAGGTACTACCAATGTAATCCTGGACCTTTGCCACCTAAGGAGCATAAATAGTTGATTAAATCAGTTTACTTCAGGCAGGATAGTCTTCTAACATGAAAAGGGAGTTGACAATTTGGCAGAAATACACTTGATCTTAGCCAAAAGGCTGAGGAGCGATGGCAGAAACACATATTTAAAATAATACATGGTATGGAGGAGGGAGGGCAAATTTACTTACTCTGAACGACTTCCCGACACAGTTAACTGAGCAAAATTTTTCACTTTCTCTCGAACTACTTGTATTCCACGTTCATCAGATGCATTTAACTCAAGAACTCTTAATCGGAAAAGTTCAGGTCTATCTCAAAATGAAACAAATATGAAACATAGAGCACAAGTAGGCTAAAATCACATTTTAACATTTGCACACTTTGCAGATGTTTAGAATCCACTTAGTAAACAATATGGATAGAAGGCACACAATCACTTTTGTATTCTCTCTCGGTAGAGTGCTGCAGTTACCATTTTGGCTTTTTTCCATGCATTTAAAAAAATGTAGACATTATTACATAAAATATACAATTTCTTTTCTTTTTATTTTTTTGGAGACAAGGTCTTGCTCTGTCACCCAGGCTGGAGAACAGTGGCATGATGATGGCTTACTGCAGCCTTGAACTCCTGGGCTCAAGTGATCCTCCCACCTTAGTCTCCCAACTATCTGGGACTATAGGCACATGCCATCACACCTGGCTAATTTTGTTTACTTTTTGTAGAGGTAGGGACTCATTATGTTGCCATGCTGGTCTCAAGTGATCCTTCAACCTTGGCCTCCCAAAATGTTGGGATTACAGGTATGAGGCACCACACCTGGCCCCACATATAAAATTCTAAATCGATTTTCCACTTCGCATTTATAATAAGTATCTCGGCATATTATCAAAACCACTGTAAATAACATTTTAACAGTCGTATGATATTCCATCCTATGACTATACCATCATTTACTTTACATTCTTCTATTGTTAGAATCTAGATAGTTTTAAATGTTGTAATTTTAAACAATGTTAGAATATAGCACATTTTAAATTATTTCCGGACAAGTGTAGTGGCTCATGCCTGTAATCCCAGCACTTTGGGAGGCCGAAGCAGGTGGATCATGAGGTCAGGAGTTCGAGACCAGCCTGACCAACATGGTGAAACCCTGTCTCTACTAAAAATACAAAAATTAGCTGGGCGTGGTGACAGGCGCCTGCAGTCCCAGCTACTCAGGAGGCTGAGGCAGAAGAATCACTTGAACCCGGGATGCAGAGATTGCAGTGAGCCAAGATCGCACCACTGCACTCCAGCCTGGGCGACAGAGCAAGACACCGTCTCAAAAATAAGTAAATAAACAAACAAACAAACAAATAAATAAATAAATTCCAAAGGGTAGTTTGCTATAAGGAAACTTACTAGATTAAGGAAAATTAATGGATTAAAACATGAGCAGGTTTTTAAAGTGAGTTTTAATAAAAATTACTAAAAGTAATATATGCTTACTGTAGAGAAATCTGAGAAATCAAAAGAAAAAAAAAGGGCACACTGTCAAAGCACTGTTTTGAAACTTCCCTCTAGTCTTTTACACACACACACACACACATACACACACACATTTTTAAATAAAAAACAAGAGTTGTGATTTAGTTTCATCTCTATTTTTCCTAATCAGCATGGTATCCTAAGCATGCTTATGGACATAAACATTTACATGCATCTATTTTCTATTTTAAAACCACAATATTAAATATGAAATTCACTCTTAAAGTAAGTATTTAAAGACAAACATTATTTTACAAAGAATATAGAAAAAGTTGTAAAATCTGGACTGACCTACTCTAAGTAATAATAAACAACTGTTAAGGCTGATTCAGATTGGTTCTATCTGACTGAGTTGTGGAATAATCAAAAAAGTTCTTTTATAATTTTACTGAGCATCAAAAGTTGCTGTCAAATAAAATATTAGGCACACAGCAGCTTCTCCATTTGTCTTTTACATTTTGACATAACTAATAAACTAATAATCCTTACACATTTGGTGATTTCAGTGGCATCTTTTTTTTTTTTTTTTTTTGAGACCGAGTCTCACTCTGTCACCCAGGCTGGAGTGCAGTGGCGTGATCTCGGCTCACTGCAACCTCCACCTCCCAGGTTCAAGCGATTCTCCTGCCTCAGCCTCCCGAGTAGCTGGGACTACAGGTGCATGCCACCCATGCCTGGCAAATTTTTGTATTTTTAGTAGAGATGGGGTTTCACCATGTTGGCCAGGCTGGATTCGAACTCCTCACCCCAGGTGATTCACCCGCCTTGGCCTCCCAAAGTGCTGGGATTACAGATGTGAGCCACCGCGCCTGGCCTATTTTCATATGTAGGATTTCAGATATTTCTATCAGTTGTATGTCTAATATTAATTCCGGAAAAACTCAAGACAGCCTCTGTTATGCTGGTGCATGTTTCATGTATATCAGACCCAGCCCACTACACATCTTTTAACTCTAGGTAAAGGGCTCCTCTAGAATGGCTGGTTAAGCCAAGATGGTCAATCTAGGAAGAGGAACCTAAGAAGGTGACTCACAGGAAGATTTTTTGGTGTACCTGGAATCATACTACATCAACTACCACTTATGCTCAGGAGACCTGAGGCAAGGAGCTGGCCTGGCCACTCCAGAGTCACAGCCTAGGAACTCTAGAGCAGGACTCAAGAATGGATGGTGCAAATAGTACCATCAGAAACAGCAGATTCTATCATACAGCCACACAGATGTGAACACAATCATTAAGAGGGTTATAAAACTATCAGCACAATTGGACATTAAGTTGGACCCTCTGGACTCCAAAATTATAACGGAAAATTTAAAGAAAGTGATGGAAAAAATCATAGGCTCCCAGTGTTGTAGTACATTCAAACACGTGAACAAGATTCAGAATGAAGGTTACAAAAGATGCAGGCAAGCTGATCTCTTCAGGGGAGTGAGGGAGGAACAAAATGGGCTCACGGGATTTTTAAAAATCTTCCTACAGAAAATGAAATGCAAATTTTTAGAGGAAAAAAAAGCAGTATCAGAGAATATTGGTGTCAAATCTTTTAAAAAAGAAAAACAGACTGATTTCAACGTACCCAAAGAGTTCTCTAGCTGCTGCCAAAATAGTGGATGTTTTTCCAGTTCCAGGTGGTCCATAAAACAAGAGATTAGGAAGCTGTAGAAATTAAATTTGTTTTTAATAAATGGTATTCTGGCACAAATAGATGAAAAGGAAGATTGAAAAAACTGTCTGTGGAACAGTGCAACAACTTCTCTAATTAGGGCACGTAACTTCTAAGTATAAAGATTTCTTAATATAACTGACATCATAGTATTGACAGATCTAAATCCTGCTTTTTCATATACTACCACTTTTTTCCCCAAGTGTCTTTTTAATCTCTTAAGCTGAACCAATATTTATGTTTGCTCTATAGCTAATCCACTTAGGTGAAATTTTCAAAGCTGGAATGAGAAACCTTTTATTTCTAAAGGGAATCTCAGTTTCCTATCCTACCTCTATGCTCAAGATTAGGTAAGATTTTATATTACACAAAATGTCAGCTGCTTCAAAGGGGAAGCAGACCAAAAGAATAATGGGATTTGGCCAAAACTGAGGAAAAAGGACTAAAAAAGACATAATCAGGGCTTTGAATGAGCAGAAGTACCAAGAACAGAAATAGTAACAAAAAATATAAAACTAGACATACATTAAGTGCTAGGCACTGTCCCACATCATGATTATGTACTCTGTAAGGATGCTTGCATGTATCAGGGACAATTCATTAGAAGAGGAAAGGATAATATTAAATAACTAGCTACCTTCTTTTATACCTTATATCTAGCTAGTTTGGCTCCTATCAAGCAGTCGACTGATCTGAGGTGAAAATTAATAAGTCAACTAAATTCTAATGAGCTCTGCTATGAAACTGTACATTCTTCAGTATGTCCTTTCACGTAAGGAAATCACTGTACACAGGAAACTAGGCATTAGAGTTTGTTTCCACTCTTGCCTAACCCTCCCTCTTCCTGTCCATTCATTCTTCACCTAAATCAGATACCACTCTGCTTGCTACTTAAAACTATTCCACTTAGAAAAACAAAAACAAACAAAAAAACTCTCAGCTTTTTACCATGGCCTAAAGGACTTCCATGATCTGCCTACCACCCCCTTCACCTTCCAGGCTCCAGCTTACAATGGCCTCTAACAGCTTGGCACTTTCTGGCCCTAACATATGTTGTTCCCATGACCTGGAGTCTGATCCTCTTCTTTCTGCCTGGCCAACTCCTAATGCATTACAAATCAGAAACCATTCAGTCTAAAGTAGGTCTCTCCTATTATCTCATTAGTATTTGTTGCATTTTGCATTGGTTTATTGCTATTTAACTGTGGGGCTTAATTGTAAAATGCCTGCCTACTTCATTAAAAGACCAAGAAACTTATTTGTTCTATTCACATCTGTATCCTAGCATCTACTACAGTAGTCAATGTTGGCCACATGAATGAATAAACCAATACATAGACAAATATGTTAATTAGAAGACTATTACTGTTACATTCATAACATATAGCTTATAGTACAAACTATGAGATTCATAACTTAAAAATCTCCTAGGCTTCTTAGTAATTAAGGTCTACAACTATTATTTTGATCTGTGCGTCCCTTAACAATGTAATAATTCATCCAGGTTAACTATCAGATATAATAATTTAAATTCTTTGAAACAGGGTAAACTTATTAAACCTTACATTATACACTAGTCTAATATATATAGTACATTCAAGAACTGTATGTGGAATACCAGTTCTTAAAAGAAAATCAATTTCTGAAAAAATTATCTTCTTATAATTCTTTCAAACCTTTCTTTTTCTTTTCTTTTCTTTTTTTTTTTTTTTAGACGAATCTTACTCTGTCGCCCAGGCTGGAGTGCAGTGGCACCATCTCAGCTCACTGCAAGCTCCGCCTCCCGGGTTCATGCCATTCTCTTGCCTCAGCCTCCCAAGTAGCTGGGACTACAGTAAAACCTTTCAAAGTAAATTGAATGAATTGTTTTCCTTTACTCTGTTGAATTAAAAAAACTATTTCACCTCTTTACAAAAGTTAGTCTGAAAAGATGCACAAAATATTAAACTGAAGTTCTTACTTCAGCCTCATAAATTACATGGCATAAAGTCAAGAACTAGATCTTAGGTTGGGCATGAAGGCTCACACCTGTAATCCCAGCATTTTAGGAGGCCAAAGTGGTCAGGTCACTTGACATGGCTAAACACTGTCTCTATTAAAAACACAAAAATAAGCTGTGTGTGGTAGTGCATGCCTGTAGTCCCAGCTACTCAGGAGGCTGAGGTGGGAGGATCACTTGAGCCTGGGAGGCAGAGGTTGCAGTGAGTTGATACCACACTACTGCACTCCAGCCTGGGTGACAGATCAAGACTCTGAGATTGAAAAAAAAAAAAAAGAACTGGATCTTAATCTCACTACATTTGCTGAAGATACTAGTAATTAAATTAGGTATTATCCTACAATCTGTGTAATTACTATGCAACTGCAATTAAAATGATATATACTGTTACCAAGATATACAAGCAGAATATATCAAAAAATAAAATGGCATACTATTATAGAATTAAAAGGTGTAAGAGTATTTGTGTTACTTATTTTTTTATTATTTATTTATTTATTTTTGAGACCAGAGTCTCACTCTATCACCTAGGCTGGAGTACAGTGGCACGATCTTGGCTCACTGCAACCTCCGCCTCCCAGTTTCAAGTGATTCTCCCGCTTTAGCCTCCTGAGTAGTTGGGACTACAGGTGTGTGCCACCACTCCTGGCTACTTTTTCTAACTTTTGGTAGTGATGGGGTTTCACCATGTTGGCCAGGCTGGTCTCGAACTCCTGACCTCAAGTGATCTTCCCATCTCAGCCTCCCAAAGCGCTGGAATTACAGGCGTGAGCCACTGTGCCCGGCCAAAAAGGTATGAGTATACGAATCAAATCAAAACACATACTGGTAAAGAAAAAGATTCTAAAGAGTTTCATAAATTTAACTTCTTTCAAAATGTGTCCTGTAGTAATACAATTTCAGCAAGAGAATGATGGCAGCAAAACCCAAAAGAACCTCTAATTAAAAGCAGCCAGATTGAGAGGAAGGAAGCAAATCTTGAAACTAAAGCAAAAACTACATCCCACTTCACCACTTTACTGAGCTGTTGAAGCACTTTGGGCATTCATCGTAAGACAACTTTAAGTTGCTAATTCTCCACATGGGTTTATCTTATCTCAGAATAATTTACAATGCAAACCATTCATGGATATTTTATCCCCCATATCACAGCAGAAGAGAATGCTATAAGCAGAATTCAAAACTCTTTTTTTTTTTTTTTTGTATTATAGGTCAATCCAAATCCTAAAGTTAGTAAGCAATTATACTTTAGAGGAATCTCTGGCTCTTCTTTATAGCACATATTACTACCTAGAATTATTTATTGGTTTACTTGTTTATTCCCTCTAACCAATAAAAACCCATGAAAAAGGGGCTTAGTTCGTCTTGTTCTATGTTTTATGTCTTGTTCTATGTCTATGTTTCATAGCCTGTCTTAATTACTATGACTTTTACTTGAATACTATGTAACACTGCTATGTAAGATTAAATAGGAGATGCTCAATAAATATTTGAACTAATTATCATTGTAGTAATTATCATAAGTACTAAGTATCATAGTTATCAAGGACCTACTGTACATAGAGCATGATATTTAATGAAGGCTAGAAGTTACAAAGGAAGAAAGAGGGTGAATAAATTAAGTCTTAAATATCCCAATGACATTAAACATCATTTGCAACTCACATCGGCTCCTTCTAAAGACTTTTTCAGTACTGCAACCACTTCTTCCTGGAAAGCAACTTCATCCACACATTTTGGGCGACTTGCAGGGTGGGGAGGAGGAAAGAGGTTATTTAGTATATTATAGTAACCACAGAAAACTCTCAAGTGTTCCTTCTACTAAAATACTAATGACAATTCTCAAACATCAGCAACAAAATGAGAAACTTTTTCATAATTGGAAATAGGTGGAAACCCCATTTGTTGTTACCATAAGTAAACACATCCTGAAAGAGTGAAATAATGTTTTACTTCCTATCTGCATTGCTTGACTCTGTTATACCCACAAAAATTAAACAAAAGGATTTTATTTTATACACTACAAACACTAATTAGAAATTAAAGTGGGAGATCGAGACCATCCTGGCTAACACGGTGAAACCCCATCTTAATAAAAATATAAAAAATTAGCCGGGCCAGGCCAGGCACGGCGGCTCACACCTGTAATCCCAGCACTTTGGGAGGCCGAGGCGGGTGGATCACGAGGTCAGGAGATCGAGACCATCCTGGCTAACATGGTGAAACTCCGTCTCCACTAAAAAATACAAAAAATTAGCCAGGCGTGGTGGCGGGTGCCTGTTGTCCCAGCTACTTGGGAGGCTGAGGCAGGAGAATGGTGTGAACCCAGGAACCAGAGCTTGCAGTGAGCTGAGATTGCACCACTGCACTCCAGCCTGGGCAACACAGCAAGACTCTGTCTCAAAAAAAAAAAAAAAAAAAAAATTAGCTGGGCATGGTGGCAGGCGCCTGTAGTTCCAGCTACTCAGGAGGCTGAGGCAGGAGAATGATGTGAACCCAGGAGGCGGAGCTTGCAGTGAGTCGAGACTGCGCCACTGCACTCCAGCCTGGGCGACAGAGAGAGACTCCGTCTCAAAAAGAAGAAATTAAAGTGGGGCTGGGTGTGGTGGCTCACACCTGTAATACCAACACTTAGGGAGGCTGAAGCAGGTGGATCACCTGAGGTCAGGAGTTTGAGATCAGACTGACCAACATGGAGAAACCCTGTCTCTACTAAAAATGCAAAATTAGTTGGGCATGGTGGCGCATGCCTGTAATCCCAGTTACTCAGGAGGCTGACGCAGGAGAATCGCTTGAACCCCAGACGCAGAGGTTGCAGTGAGCCGAGATCGTATCACTGCACTGCAACCTGGGCAACAAGAGCAAAACTTCATCTCAAAAAAAAAAAAAAAAAAAAAAATTAAAGTGAACACCTGCTTAGAAAGCATTAATATTGGTTGGATGCGTAGCTCACGCCTGTAATCTCAGCACTTTGGGAGGCCAAGGCAGGCAGATCACCTGAGGTCAGGAGTTGAAAGACCAGCCTGGCCAACATGGTAAAACCTCATCTCTACTAAAAATACAAAAATTAGCTCAGTGTGGTGGCACATGTTTGTAATCCCAGCTACTCAGGAGGCTGAGGCAGGAGAATCACTTGAACCCGGGAGGCAGAGGTTGCAGTGAGCTGAGATAACACCACTGCACTCTAGCCTGGGCGACAAAGCAAGAATCAGTCTCAAGAAAAACAAAACAAAACAAAACAAAAACACAAAAAACATATGAGGGCCTTACTCGGCCTATAAATAATCTGTAAACATTGGTAATTACTGAGGCTACATTCAACCAATAGTTACAATTACTTGTGGTAGTATCACTTAGATGACTGACATTATTTATTTATTTGAAACAGAGTCTTGCTCTGTCACCCAGGCTGGAATGCAGTGGCGTGACCTCAGCTCACTGCAATTTCTGCCTCCCAGGTTCAAGTGATTCCCGTGCCTCAGCCTCCTAGGTAGCTGGGATTACAGGTGCCCGCCAACACACCTGGCTAATTTTTGTTTGTTTTTTTTTTAGTAGAGAGGGGGTTTCACCATGTTGGCCAGGCTGGTCTGGAACTCCTGGCCTCAAGTGATCCTCCCACCTTGGCCTCCCAAACTGCTGGGATTACAGGATTACAGGCGTAAGCCACCGTGCTAGGTGGTGACTGACAATTTAAACGCCAATTCAAGTGTTGTTTGGACAAAAATGTATGAGCTAACCAAAACTGAATTTCCAAGGCTGGCTGAAACCCACTCTGTACTAAAAACACAAAAAATCAGCCAGGTGTGGTGGTGGGCACCTGTAATCCCAGCTACTCAGGAGGCTGAGGCAGGATAATCGCCTGCACCCAGGAGGCAGAGGTTGCAGTGAGTCTAGATCATGCCACCGCACTCCAGCCTGGGCAACAGAGACTCCATCTCAAAAATAGTAATAATAGTAATAATCTCCACCTATTGTAATGAAAACGGGGAACAGATTACATATTTGGATTTAAGTAGAACTCCTGGCTGGGCACAGTGGCTCAAGCCTGTAATCCCAGCATTTTGGGAGGCTGAGGCGGGTGGATCATGAGGTCAGGAGTTTGAGACCAGCCTGGCCAATATGGTGAAAACCTGTCTCCACTAAAAATACAAAAATAGCCGGGTATGGTGGCGGGTGCCTGTAATCCCAGCTACTCAGGAGGCTGAGGCAGGAGAACTGCTTGAACCCAGGAGGCGGAGGTTACATTGAGCCAGAGATTGTGTCATTGCACTCCAGCCTGAGTGACAGAGTGAGACTCCGACTCAAAAAAAAAAGTAGAACTCCTGACCAAGTATTTATAGCCAGTTTACTGAAACTTGTTTTCTTCACTTTTGTATCCCAGTCCCTACAAGGGAAGCCTCTGCTTGTAGAGATCTCAGTTTATCTACAAAATAAGGGAATTAAACTAGATTATTCTCAAGTAACTTGAGTTACTTGAGAACTCAGTTCCAGGGTTCTATGACTTATATAACCAGGTGATTTTTTTCAAAGACAACTTCTAAACAGAACACAGTATTCCTCCATAAGTTTAAAAAAAAAGTGATCAGAACTGGTTAGAGAATTTATTAATTATTTTAACAAAGACACAAGTGTTCTTACTATTTTTCCACCCAGGGAACGGGCTTGGCTTTCTTGTTCTCTCCACTGCTTCCCGCAGTGGCAGCTACTCCTCGATCCTTGGTCAGCAGGGATTTCGTACTGATGGATGTGCCTTTAAGAAATGCCTGCATGGTTACTTCACCCTGGTCAGGTGCAAGACAGAAAAAAAAAAAAAAAAAAAAAAAAAGCTTTAATCAAAACCATTTTGAGAATCAGCACCATAAGAAAGTGGGGTGGGGGGAGAACCATTATGAGAAAGTACAGCCTGAAAACACACTTAGCCTTGTGCAAAGGTGTTACATAATAAAGGACATCACCCCATGACCTAGAACACTCTGAATGCACTGTACTGAGGGCTACGAGGACAGAAAAGTGGTCAAAGTCCTTAAGGAACTTAGAATCTATTTATAGTGCAGGAGTTATAGAACAAGATCATATGTCACAAAAATGTTTAATGAGTTCCAAATGCGTTGATAAACATGATGCCGCTAATGACCAAACCACATGGGCCTCCATGGTTTCTTTCACAGTAAGGGGCCTAGCTTTAGCTCAGACTCTGAAATGGACTCTTCAGCAATTAAAGGTGCTGTGCTTGCACCACAAATGAGAACCTTCACTCGTTTCCTTGTCAGAACTCACTCGAAGACCTTTTTTGGTTGTTGTTTTTTTTGAGACAGGGTCTCACTGTTTTGCCTAGGATGGAGTGCAGTGTCACAATCATGGCTCACTGCAGCCTCGACGTCCCAGGCTCCTGTGATCTTCCCATTTCAGCCTCCCCAGTAGCTAGGACAACAGGTGTGCGCCACCATCCCCGGCTAATTTTTTTAATTTTTGGTAGAGACAGGGTTTCACCATGTTGCCCAGGCTGGTCTGGAACTCCTGGGCTCAAGTAATCCTCTTGCCCCGGCCTCCCAAAGTGCTGGGATTACAGGTGTGAGCCATCACGCCTGGCCAGGGACCTATTTTAATGGCAGTCAATGCCTACCTACCTTCAGAGACTTTCTGTGGGGAAAGGAAGGTGGGGAACTCTGTTGTTAAAATAGAAACAGCTGTTTTTCTCATAGCACACTCACTTGAAGAAATCAAAACAATGCAGAAAAGCATGAGGGATTTTAAAAAGTAATACAAAATCCCATCCAGAAGGTAACTATTTCTAACATGCAGGTAAACATTCTTCCAGGGTGTTTTCAGGGATAAAAAGCATCATTAGCTTGCCTGAAAAATCCCCAGTTAATTCTATTTTTTTTCATTGCTACAAGCCCTGGTGCCAAGAACAGTGCCTGGTACATGGTAGATGCCCCATAATATTTGGTGAATGAATTACCATCTATGACACCCGGTTTCCTTTTCTGTTAAAGGAGCTAAGGCCTATTCCATAGGACAACTGAGTTAAATAAAAGAATGTATGCAAATACATAGTTTCTTGCTTGGCATATGGGGATATACTCAATAAAATAAAATAAATTGTTAATATCTATTGGCGGCCAAGGTTTTTATAACGTTATTGGATTAGTCCATCCCTGCCTCGGGCTGTTAAACACGAATACAGCCCAAAGCCAGGGTCTGCAGGATGCTGTCCGGAACCACCATTTCACCAAAGGGCGCGGCCAGGGCATGAAAGCGCGGCTAGGCTGGGGCCCCGAAGGACGTGGAAGACCTCACAGCGGCATCAAGGGCAGGAGTGGGGAATGCGAACCGGGCTTGCAATTCCTCCAGCCGGTTACCGGTCAGCCTGGCTTCTCGTGCAGGTCACCGCCGCCGGCTAGTTCCTGAGGTTTCCGGGATACAAAATGGACAAGATGGTCTCAAAGTCTTAGTTCCGTTCCCTAATCTGAGAATAACGGGCCCACGAGACTTACGATCACCCCTGTCCCCACAGTCGCCTCAGTTCCCGCCACGGAACGGCGAGCGAAAAGCAGGCCGGGAATACGCCGGTAGGAATACGTGGGCACGTAACGCGTCACTTCCGGTCCTGGGGCGCGCTGCCAGCGGGGAGAGTTTGCACGTATATGGTTTTATTTAAGCAGGTAATGAGCCAGCCGGACTTTCAGGGAGAACTGGACTGGAACAGGCATGGCCTAGGAGGTGTCCCTGTACCAGTGCATTGCTCCCACTTGAGACGTGAGCGCGACCCTCCCCGAAGGTCGCGCGGGCACGGCGCTGGGGCCGCTTACCTGGCAGGCTCAGCAATGAGGGCGGGGCAGCGGCGCGCGGGCCTCTGGAGCCCTGCGGGTCCACCGAAGGTCCCGAGCCCGCTATCTTCGTAGGTGCGGGCCTCCGGAGGTGCAGGTCCCTGTCCTTGTCCTGCTTCGTCGCAGAGCAGAACGCGTGTGCTTTAAGGGCAGAGACATCTGAAGATGCCTTGCCTTGTCCTCTTGAGGGCACGTGGCTTTTACTTCTAATAGTGTCTGCCTGTTGTGGAGAGGGAAGACCGTGCAGCTGTGGACATCTATTATAATTCCTGAGCCCCACTTAGAAATCTGGAAGTGCAGGCGTTCAATAAAAGTTAAAAGATCAATAATCATGTTTAGCCCCAGCAAGGTTCATGCACTGTGGCTTCTAGGCAGGTGTCTGACACCACTGCTATTCTCTCTTCCAAGTACTTGGTTTAGGCTGAAATGCTTCTCAATCCTATTGAAACTTGACCCTTCTCAAAGGCCGCCTTCTCTACAGGCCTTTACTAATTACTAACCCATAAGGTTGATCCGGGTCTTCTTCAAATGACTGTTTTGTTTGGCACAAACTCAGCATGATATCCATTGTTAACTGCACGTTTTTTTCATTTATCTTGCAACAAATGCTTACGGAATGACCACGCACTGTGCTAGATGCCTGCAGATACAGCAGGGAAAACGCTAGAAGATGCCCTCAAGTAGCTTTACAGACTAGGAAAGTGACAGACAATGTGATGTGTGGTTATGCAGAGGAAGTAGGGCGCTGTGAGAACTTACATCCCAGGCCTAACCCAATCAAAGGTTTAACCAGAGTAAGGATGCTTTATGCTACTTTGTAACCTCCGCAGGGTCTGATACAATCTCTGGACAGTATAAAAAGCACACAGGTTACCTATCTGGTCACTGGTTTACATTACCATAACTCATCAAACTGTATACTCAATGCTTGTACATTTTATGTAAATTATACCACAATACAGTTGATAAAACAAAGATCTGTGAAAATAGTACTCATTTGCTACCTGAACGAACAGCACAATCACAGAGAGGGGGATGTTATGATCTCATTTAACAGACAAGCTGGGCTGGGTGTGGTGGCTCACGCCTGTAATCACAGCACTTTGAGAGGTCGAGGCCAGCGGATCACCTGAGGTCAGGAGTTCAAGACCGGCCTGGACAACATGGTGAAATTCCATCTCTACAAAAATACAAAAATTAGCCAGGTATGATGGCAGGGGCCTATAATCTCAGCTACTTGGGAGGCCGAGGCAGGAGAATCACTTGAACATGGGAGGTGGAGGTTGCAGTGAGCCAAGATTGCGCCATTGCATTCCAGCCTGGGTGACCGAGTGAAACTCCATCTCAAAAACAAACAAAACAGACAAGCTGATGGATAAGTGGTCTTTGTCCATTTTGGCTGCTATAGCAAAATACCATAGATTGGGTGGCTTATAAACATCATAAATTTATTTCTCACAGTTTTAGTGACTGGGAAGTCCAAGATCAAGGCACCGTAAGATTCATTGACTGGCGAGGGTTCACTTCCTCACTAACGGCTGTCTTACTGCTGTAACCTCATGTGGTGGAAAGGGCTAACTAATTTTCTCCATCCATCTCCTTTATAAAGGCGTTTCTCCCATTCATGAGGGTTCCGCTCTAATGACTCAGTCTCCTCCCAAAGGCTCCACCTCCTGATATCATCACCTTGGGAGTTATAATTTCAATAACTATAACTTGGGGGTGTGGGGACAAACATTCAGACTACAACAAAGGTTAATAGCAAATAAGTGGCAAAGCCATAATCCACATCTTGGACTGTCTGACTCCAGACTCATAGCTTGTGGTCAGTCACTGGGCAGGTTCAGGGCTGGCATAGAGATGCCTTAATGTTAGATAGAAAAGAGAGACCTGACTGGTATCTTGTTTTGGCAACTGGTTTAAAAAAAGTGCCATCTTTCTCCAGGTACGTTCAGCCCTTGGTGGGATGAAAGACTTGATAAGAGATTGGGCTGGATTTCTATCTCCACTTGACCCCTCAGCTGACTACTCCGTTATTGTACACAACTATAGGCAGCATCCTAAGCCAGGTAGTTGAAGAATTGAAGGGACAGAGAGAATGAGAGAAAGAGAGAGAGATCTCCCTATGTTTAGTCTTGAACTCCTTGGCTCAAGGGATCCGCCCACCTCAGCCTCCCAAAGTTCTGGGATTACATGTGTTAGCCACTGCCTCCAGCCCTGGATTATGTTTTCTTTAAAAATTTTTGAGACAGAGTCTCACCCTGTTGCTCTGGCTAGAGTGCGGTGGCACTAACTCAGCTCACTGCAACCTCCACCTTTTGGATTCAAGTGATTCTCGTGCCTCAGCTGCTCAATTACAGACACATGCTGCCACACACAGCTAACTTTTGTATTTTTAGTGGAGACAGGGTTTTACCACGTTGTTCAGGCTGGTCTCAAACTCCTGACCTCAAGTGATTCTCCCGCCTCAGCCTCCTAAAGTGCTGGGATTACAGGCGTGAGCCACTGTGCCTGGCCTGGATGGTATTTTATAAGGTCACTAGGAAAGGAAAAGACTTGGGTAGCAAATGAAAAAAGGGAGCTGCCAGAAGTGGGAAAGATCAGATAGTGGATGATAGTGTCATTTTGAAATCAGAAAATGCAGGCTGAGTACAGTAGTTCAGGCCTATAATCCTTTGATAGGCCAAGGTGGGAGGATCACTTGAGCGCAGGAGTTTGAGACCAGTCTGGGCAACACACCTGAGACCCCCATCTCTACAAAAATAACAAATAAATAAAATAGAAAAAAAATCAGAAAATGCAGGTGTACTGGATGCTCTGGTATGCCACCTTTCAGGACTGACATATTCACTCCCCCAGCTGCTGGGAGCGTTGCCAGCCAACAACTCCTGAACGAGTCCCTGTCCAGCAACTGTCTTCAGCCAACAAAACCACTTTATCAAAAATTGCATTCCTTTCGTGGAGGCAGCCCACCTCCAAGGGCTAGTCTAGGAGGATGCTATAGTTTGGATGTGGTTTGTTCCTGCCCAAACTCATGTTGAAGTTTAATTGCCAGTGTGGTAGTGTTGGAGGCGGGGCCTAGTGCGAGGTGTTTGGCTCCCTGGGGTGGATCCCTCATGAATAGATTGGTGTCATTCTCAAGATAGTGAGTTCTTGTTCCTGGGAGACTGGATTCGTTCTCACGGAAATGGATTAGCTCCTGAGAGAGCAAGTTGTTATGAAGTGGGTCAGCCTCCTTGGTCCCCTCACTCAGCACATGCCGGCTCACCTTTCTGCTTCTCCTGCATGTTTTGAGGCAGCCTGAGGCCCTCACCAGAAGCTGAACAGCCTGGCACCATGCTCTTGGACTTTGCAGCTACCAGAATTCTGAGCTAAAGAAATCTCTTTTCTTAATAAATGACCGAGCCTAACAGTCTGTAATAGCGACAAAATGGACAAAGACAGAGCGGTATAAAGGTTTAGCCCTTGTCTTAAGGTGGCACCGTTCTTATGCGTTATTCCAGCTCCAGATCGTCATTGCACCTGCATCACAATACAACTTCTTCTGCCCAGTCCTGCCTCCCTCATCCCTCTCATGCGTTGTTTCTTAGAGTACCACACCGTTAAAAGCCTGCAGGCAAATAGCAAAATCTGTTTCCTAAGGAATCCAATGCAGAAGCGGTCCTTGAAAAAGGCTCTAAGATGGGATTTTTGAAGCTGTATCCCCTCCCAACCTGTTGGCAAGGGAAACCCCATCACTGGTGGTGGTGGAGCCCCCAGAGCCCCTGGCATCCTATGGCAATTGTTAAAACGTTCATCAGTGGCAAACTGGAAGGGGGTGCCAGTGGAAGGAAATGCATAGCAGATGTAATATCTCAGGGGTTGTAAGAAAGAGTAATTATAAGAACTTTGGAATTGGGTGGACATGGCTGGTGGGGATGTTATTAATTCCTTAAAGATAATGAAGGGTCGAGTGTCACCAATTGCCAATGAGACCAAGGATGAAAGCTAGAGGGTCTGGCAAGGAGTGGTGGCTTACACTTGTAATCCCAGCACTTTGGGAGGCTGAAGTGGGTGGATCACCTGAGGTCAGGAGTTTGAGACCACCCTGGCCAACCCGGTGAAACCTTGACTCTACTAAAAACACAAAAATTAGCCTGGTGTGGTGGCGTGTGCCTGTAATCCCAGCTACTCAGGAGGCTGAGGCATGAGAATCACTAGAACCTGGGAGGCAGAGGATGCAGTGAGCCGAGATCACGCTATTGCACTCCAGCCTGGGCGACAAGAGCGAAACTGTCTCAAAAAAAAGAAAAAGAAAAAGTCAGCATATAAACTTGGCAGCATATAAACTTATTAACATATCCTGCAACCAGAGGGGAAAACAATTTATGAGCCAGACCCCAAAAATCAATTATATTAGTGGCAGGGTTTGAGAGAAAGTTAAATTCTCAACTCCAGTAAATTTACCACACCAAGTTCAAGACCCTGATTTGGGGGAAAAAAAGAAAACTGAGATGCTGAGATTTGAAATGGGGCCAGGTGGGTCAATGCATTTGAAAATCTTAAATTTCCAGATTCCTCTGAATGCTATTGATCTACAGAAGTAGCCCATTCCTCTCTGTTAAGTGCTGATGTTCCTCTCAAGGATATATGTACAAGCTTCTGCTTTGTAAGACAACACATATCTCCACTCATCTGCCATCTTTTCACCCTCTTCTCCACTCCACCACCACCGAAGGGGAGGTGATTA